AGAGAGAGAGAGAGAGAGAGAGAGAGAGATCCACTTGAGTTCCCACTTACCCGCAGCTATGGGCGATTTCCTCTCATCCAGAAGCTGAATGGCAGTGCTGGCCAATACAACGCTCTTGTTTTCTGATCCTAAGCCACACACACAAGCACAAAAACACAACACACACACAGTTCGCATCACTGTCACATCATAATTTCTTATATTAGTTCTAAACTGACCACAGGGTGATTGGAGGGAGAAACACTGAACGTAAATACCACAGAGTACTATTTCATGGTTACAGCTAGAACTGCCATGGTCCTGAGAGGAAGAGTGCCGAGTGGAACTACGCCGAGTAAATAAGAGGCTTTCAGATCACTTGTATTAGCTGGCACTAATGGAGAGCCTGAGGCCGAGGACAGACGAGAACACATTCTCCCTCCTTGGAGGAAAAAATCATTTCTCTGAGACGTTGTTGAATATACTGTGTGTCTTTCTGTGAGTGTGTATTTGTGTATTCTGGCCAAGTCACTATGGAAAGGGCTGAACCTCTTCCTAACGTATCTTGTTTCAGCCCACAGCAATCAGTCCTTTCCACAAGAACACAGGCTAGAATTAATAAGAGAGGAAGGGGAGGCAGAGATGCATGGCGAGAGAAAACGAACAAATATGGGTGAAAGAGGAATAAAAGAGATGGAGGATATTTTAAAATGGTCTTTGAAATATAAGTGACTTTATTTGTGCCTGTGAAAAAGTGTAATTCCATTTTTAATTAACTTAGATGTTTCCTGCAGCACTTGCCAGCATTGTTTTTTTCAGTAATCTTTGCAGACACTTGGTGGTGCCATTCCTACATTCATTTTATTACGCTAGTGACGGCTACTGTGTGGAGCTAGACAGAACTCAAAATTGAACCTGACTTATTTCTATCTATTTGACTCTGTGAGGAGAGTTGATTTTTTTAATCTTTTGTGAATTCAAAAAGAAGCACTGACCTGTGTTGAAAGGTAGAGAGTAGACAAAGGTACCAGGAACTTGTTCTGCCGCTCTCTTGTACCAGAGGGGAAAGTGATCGGCGTTGAACACCCCCTCTTTGTCTTCAGCTGTCAGGAAGTCTCTTGAAGCAGAAAGGAAACAGAGGTGAGAACACAGCACCCAAATAGAGCATGTGTGCACATTGTGTAAACATACTAGAGCGTGAAGAGTAAAACATTTCAGATACCGATATATCTGCAGATACATATATTCAAAGACTGCTTTTGATGAAGAAATGTATTTGAGACTTAATGTTGTAAAATAAATGTATATCATCAAACATAATTTATCTACCTATTTATCTTGTGTTTTTTAAGTGCCCGTGTCCTGTTCCGTGTTTTTATTTTGGTTTTTATTGTTTTTTTAATTCTTTTGTATTTTTATTGTATTGTATCCAAATACCGAACTGCTATGACGACCTAATTTCCCTTTGGGGATGAATAAAGTGATCTTTCTATCTATCTATCATAAACACTGATACCAATACGTCTCTTTTTAGCAATTTTATCGGAGACAACCAATGAGTTGTACAGGTCGAAGACATACACACAGACAACATACATAAAGTCAGCATACTTACTGGTTGGTGAGCTGGTCAGGCACCACAAACATGTTGATTCTGGAAAGGCCTGTTCTTGTGCCGAGGTACGCAATCTCCACCCCTTTATCTGAGTTCCTGTGAAATATGACAAATAGATAAACTACAGTTTTGCACAAATACACAGAATCTTTGCTATCTATACTATCAAAAAGCTTCAAATAAATATGAAATAAACCACAAGACTTTTGAATGTTTTCAATGAGAACGTGGAAAAAGAAGAATGACATACTCAGATTTATTTAGCACCAGGCTGGTCCAGTAGGCCTCCAAAGGGGCAGTCACTACTGCATCAAAGAGAACCTCCTGAATCAGCTCCTTGTCACCTAACAAAACAAAGAAATGTATATTTTCACACATAAATCACGCTCATTAGTAACAGACGACCACAAAAACATCTGTTAATGCGCTGAAGGAACGTGGGCAGGTTTAACTCACATTGTAGGTGGGGTTCATGGCCACTGAGGTAAAGTTTGATCGCCTCTATCTGGGACAGGTAGCGATGTTCTGGGTGCTCGTCTGTGTTGCAGTAAGTCCTGTTGTATAATTAAATAGGACAATGCAAACATTTGTCATGATGATACATGAAACGCAGTAACAATTAGCTCTGGATTGTTTTTTTTAGTCGATTCCAGATTTTGTGCTGAGAATTGCAGTTGAACCTCAGTCCTACATTCCAGTTGTTTTTTTAATGCTACTCATCCACAGTGAATAAAACGTGGAGTAAAACAAAGATGGTTTTACAATTTAGGAGCATTAGTTTGAAAAGCGTTTACTGTAATTTGTTTAGATGTTGGTTCCCAATCCTGGTGACCACAAGTCATCAAGTGACACAAACCATCAAGTCAAAGTCCAACAGATCCCTAAGCTGTTGTGTAACTGCTTCATTGCAGTGGAATTGTTTGATTTTACAATTTGGCAGTATATTTAGGACCAGGTCCAATCACAATGTCACTAAAGGATGATGATGTTATCGCAGCGACGTCAGTTTGCTCTTACCATTCGTCTGCCAGCGCTACATCAGGATGCTCCAAGTCATGAAGTCCTGTACCAGAATAAGAACAATGTATCTCAAATTAAATAAGCAAAAGCACACGATATGAACTCATAATAATAGGAATAGGCATCTATAACTCGAACGCACACACTCTAAAACACACACAGAAACACACACTGGGGGTGAAAAATGTGTTTTTTGAATGGAACTGACAGGTCTGATTAGATCAGGAAGAGCCAAGTCATGCTCAGAGGGTTCCTCTTGATGGACATGTTTAGAGAAACACACGCACACGCGCATACGCACACACACAACCACAAATATTAACATGCATGAGGCTTGACATAAAAATAGACGCACATACTCACAGACACACACATACGGACGAAAGACGAAAATAAGTAAAAGAACACACCTAAGGAGCCGCTAAAGAATTTTTTTTAACTTCTTGTCCAACTTTGGACGTTTTTTTCTACATTAAGATGGAATGTGTGTGCGAGTGTGTGCGAGCAACAGAAAGACGGAAGAAAATGGGAGAAAGAAAGACCAGATGTAAAATGATGCTGCGTTACGTATATTACTGGTGTGGTGGATTAGTAAAAACATTTTTCTACTTTTGAGCACTTGTACTTTATATATTTTCATTTCATGCTACTTTGAACTTTTAGGCCATTCAACATTTGAGAGAAAATCTACTTGAGCTACTTTGCTACAATTTAAAAACGACAGTGTCAAGTTAGTCCTGTAGACTTTACATACCAATTATATGATCAGCTTATAAAATATGGTGCATGATTGCTAATTAAACTACCCAAGAGTATAAAGTAGATAAAATTAGCTCCTCATTAAAATTCCCCTGACATTTTAATCCATAAGAAATAATAATCCTATTACATAATAGTATGAAGCTCTGAAAGGGGCCATTCTGCTCAATTTAGAAAACTATGGAGTTCAAACACATAGTTGAATTCTGCATCTTCTGAATGTGGTTATTTCGATTCCTTTTAATTATTTGTTGAAAAGAGTTTCTTACAAAAAACACATTTGATTTTCATGTGAACTTCAAACTACATGTTAATCAAATCATTAAATCCTTCTACTTCCATCTATGAGACATTTCTAAAATGAAATCTGTTCTCCCTGATTTAGAAAAGCTGATACATGCCTTTGTTTTTTCCCGCCTGGATTATTGCAACACCCTGTATACATGCCTCAGCCAAACCGTGGTAACTCTTTTGCAGCTTGTTCAAAATGCTGCTGCTCGTATTTTAACAAAAACAAAACGTAGGGATTTTTACGGTTCTTTTAATAACTTTTACAGCTCAACATGGGCTGGCCCCCACATACATTTCACAGCTCTTGACTCCCTATACTCCCGGTCGTAACCTGAGATCGGCCAGCCTGTCCCTGTTGGCTGTCCCTATAGGTCAAGGCTGGCTGCTCAAGGTGACCGGGCTTTCTCTGTCATGGCCCTGAGGCTCTGGAATCCCTGCCTGATGAGATTAGGCTCGCCAACTCACTACCGATCTTTAAATCACTGCTCAAAACATATTTTTATAGGAAAGCATTTCTGTGATGTGACTTGTAATCATTTTCATTACAACAATCAGTCTTAGAGAGTTCAAATGTGATGTTCCTGATTTTATTGCCTGCCCAGGAACTACAGATGAAAATCAGCCTGTCAATAAAGTAAATAAGTCAAGCACAAGAAGTACGATAAACACTATTGGACGTTTTCATATTCAACAATAGACTGTAAATATACCTCTAGGTCCCACCTTTACACATCCTCAACCCATCATAAGTCAGTCTCAGCTGTCAATCATGACGTTTTATTCCGTTTTTATAGCATCAAAAAATTTATTAAAGCCAAACTTGTCTGATATTAATTGACCAATACTGCAGCCAGCCACCAGGGGCCAATGCAGATGATTTGGCTTCATGTTTTGGGAGCTAGGTACGCACATAGCCTACGCACTGGGCCTACGCCATTGTGAGCATTTGTAGTTGTGTGTAGGTTTTTGTGCGTCACTTTGCAATTAAACCACCGAAACACTAGTGCCCGTAGAGTTTCTATGCCACTGTGCTGAGTTTCCACTTAATTCATTCTCTGGCGTCTCTGTTTACTTATTAACAACAGCGAGTGCTATCATGTCTGAGCTGATAAATCTTGAAGAGCACTTAGCATAGGCTGGAGCTACATCGCAGATTCCACACAGAGGCATGAATTGGGCTTTTAGAAGTGTGAGTTGAGCGAGAGACACAAATACGTAAGACCATGTAAGACAGCGGGTGAGAATGGGGTTAAGATGTTTAGGCAGACAGATATGATACAGATAGAAAAGAGTAAAAGTGAGTAACAAAGAAAAGGAGACACACCTTCCTCCACAGTGACATTCCCTCTGAAGAAAAACTTCCCGTGGCCTCTGGAAAGAGCTACACCTAGACTAAAAATAAAAATAACAGAAACAACAACAGGGCTTTTGAATCGATATCATTCCCCAGTTCTTTGTTGTGCAGAGAGAACAGGAAATACTGATCCTTCAGTCTCTCTAAACTTTGTTCACAGCTCACAGAAACGTCTCTTACCTGAAAGGTGTCCCCTTGATATCTGTGTAGTAGTAATCATTATGCAACACCAACACACGCTTCTGAAATAAAACAGAAGAATACATTCTGTGACACACTGCAGTAAACAACAGTTTGTGATGGCTGTTATCTGCTCTGATTCCTTGCACTCTGGCGCCATCCAGTGGTGCAGGCTGAACATGCCTTTAGTTAGCAGTCTGCCTCACGACCTGTTACTCCTCCTGATGGATGTGTGGGTTTTGCAGTGCGAGTGTTTGGATAAGGATTGTAAATTTGCATGTGTGTAGTTTTGAGTGCGTGTATATGTGTGTCTGCAGATATGCATTTACATATTGAATGCTTAATAATCAGGGTAATGTATAATGCTCTCGTCTAAGCTCTAAAAATGCAAAGTACACACACACACACACACATGCACACACTAACGTGCTGCCACACACCTGAATGCCTCTCTCTCCCTCAGACAGGCGGATAGTAAAACAGAATCTCTGGGCTGCTGCTGTCTCTCCCGTATTCAGCCACATGTGCTTGGCGGAGATAACGGGCTCACACACAGACAGACACACACACCCATGCATGCAGGGCAAACCAAAATCAAAAACAAAATCCCCTTGTCGATCCTGTACACGACTGCTCCAAGTGCAGCAACCCCTTGGCAGCATGCACTCTCCCCCTGTCGAGTATTTTCTCTGGCTCACCCAGCGGGACAATTCAAAACGTGTTTGTTAGTGTGTGTGTGTTGTTTCATTTCTGGATGTCAGTGTCCTCACCCCTTTGTCGACGCTCTTCTTCACCTCCATGGAGAAGATCCCCGTCTTCCTGTTGACCATGGCATTTCTCAGCTGGCAACACAGAGCACACACACACAGATTTCCACACATCAGATTTTTGTTACACTGACGATGTGAAGATGCTTACTGAAGATTTGGCTGCAAGTGTCTCACCGTGTCGTCCTTATCCTCCCATTCCACCTCAGACAGATCCACACTGCTGTAGTTTGGCTTCCTCCGCTTTTTGCCGTCCCCGTACTGGAGACACAGGCCCATGTAAACACACATACAACATCAGGCATAGAGAGATATTGGAAGAAATTAAAAGTATTCTATACTAGACGGCTGCTGGCTGTTACCACCTCTACCAAGGAGATTATGTTTTCACCTCTGCCCATTTGTTTGATTAAACAAGCAACTACACAGATTACCACAAAATGTGGTGGAAGGATGTGATATGGGTCAAGGAAGAACCCGTTAAGATTTAGATTTGTTTTTCATTCGCTAAAATATTGCGCAGATTAACGTTTTTCAACATTTTCATCCTGTTCTGATGGAATCATTCATTGATGTTGATTAAAGAAAATCAGGCATAAATGTATCTATGAGTTTGTGAAATTAGCTGCAGCTTGATTGAATTAATGTTATTGATAATTAATGGATCTATTAATGCATTACTGTAATCCTTTTTTATTATGTATGTATCATATCCATTTTTTTATATTATAGTCAGCGAAATATAAAAGAATCAGTGAAGTAAATAATGTGAATGCCAGTAAATACAACCCAGTGAGAGTCAATTCACAATGATTTAAACCAGATAAAATCAGCATATGAGAAGCAGGAAAATGGATGCCACACAAAAGCAGCAAAATTGATTTTCCATCAGAATATGACATAGGAGGAGAGAGACAGAACAGTTAGCTTAGCATAAAGATTGGAAGTACATGGAAGTACTACATGGCGAAATACTCACACTCTAAATCTCATATCTCATATCTAATTTTACACAAGCAGAAATGTTAAAAGGTTAAAGGTTTTGGTTTTCACACAGCATTACATACTTTATAATGTCTTGGTGAGTGCAGCACCTGGGCTGATATCAATCTTCTCATTATTAGGCACAAACTAGCACTCAGAAAAGCTCAAACCACTGCCAAGGCCCAACAGTCCCCTTAAATTCACGCAAGTTGCACCAAATTGTACACAATCAAAATATTTAATGAATGTTAGTCACAATTTTTTGTATCTAGATCCATGCATTACCAGATAGGAAGTTGGTGAAAACAACAAATCACTTCCCATTTTGTAAAATTAAATCAAACTTTAATGGGTTCCTCCATCCCTGATACCACATCCAGCAGTTTCATGGTAACCCATCCAGTAGTTTTGTGTAGTGCTGCTAACTAACCAACAAACTTACTCAGTTAGAAACTATTTGGCCGAGGTTTTAAGCTAAATTCCCACAATCTCAAACAATTACTATTTTAGAATAATGACCAAATTCATGCAATGTGTGATGTTCATACTACTATCATTTCTCCTCTCCCTCTTCTCTCCCCCCCCTCTTCCTCTCCTTCTTCCTCTCCTCCAGCAGTATTGGGTTTATAAATATGTACTATACTATATGTTTGTCTGTGTGTACACTTGTGAGTCCTCCTCTCCATTCATCTGTCAGTGAGAACAGCTTCCCACCTCTCATTAGTTGTTAAACACTGCTCATTAATGTCTTTAATTAGACCACCATCAAACCATCCGTCTGCCTGTCTCACTGTCTGCTCTGTCTTCTCCTCGTCTGTTCTCTTTCCTTCCCTCCATATCTCTCCATTTTCATCCAGTGCTGCTCCCCACCTTATCGCTCTGCACCTATACTCTCACATTAGGCAGGTTCCTTGCTTTCCTCAATCTCTCTCTCTCTCTGCACTCGCTCCCCTCATCCTCTTGTGGTGGGAGAGGGAGCACAATGGAGTTAATCACAGCCATTCAGAAGCTGTATCTCTGTCTATTCACAGCACAGTGGAAGCCTGGAACATAGTCCCCTCATCTGCATACCACCATGCAGCCAACACACACACACACACATAAACATAGAACACAACCACGCACACATTTATGTCAATCAGCATCACAAAGTGAAAACGAAATCAGTAATCGACTTGACAGGAACTCAAGACTTACTATTCCTCCGTCGTCTGAACAAAATAAATTAATACATTTGGACTTCAACCTCTGAGCTGTAAAATACATTGTTATGATAATAAGATTCATAGTCAAAGTGGTGACAGAGAGATTGAATAGCCAATACTCACAAGTGGCCGTAGATCTGGATGCGTAAGGATGTAGCCATTGTTGGTGATTGCAAAGGCGTAACCGTGAATGCCCAGCTAGGTAATACACATGCAAGACACAGGCAGAATGTTTGTCTTTGCAGTGAAAACTGCAAAATACAAGAGGATGACATCATTTGTCCATATCCAAAATAATGAACTCGCAAAACTGAAAATCTTACACCAAACCAAGGTTTAAACCTACAAGTGGATAAAACAACATCAGGGCATGTGATGAGGCAGGGACAGAATGCATTAGTAAACATAATGTGCATAATTTTCCCGTCGGAGCTGGACATGAGGAATGAGCTGTGAATAATCTGCGTCCAAACATCAGAGAAGCCTCTGATTTAACTGCTTTAGCATTCAGTTACTGCACTGTGGAGCTGGACTGGTGTATGCACAGACCTGAGTCAAAAAAGAATTTCTGATCCAGGTGAAGAGCACATTCACACTGCTCAATCATAAGGTTTAAATGGCAGTAGAAGTCGTGATTGTGAGGAGGAGTAACTCATGTTTATAATTACCCATAAGGACTGAGTGATGTTGAGTGTGGTACCTTATATTTGGGGATGGTCTTAAGCAGCTCAGACACAGGCACATCTGTCCCAACAACCCCCAGAAGGATGCCACGGTTTCTCTGGAAGCACACACATTAAAAAATATTTTGAAAGCAACACGCTTTCTTAGAGATGCACTGTTGAAAAAAATGTCATTGTGCAATATATATTTAATTAGTGATGCTCTCATGCATCGTAATTTACTGACTCCAATCAAAGTAAAATTAGCGTCCATCAAAATGTGCACATAATGAACCATCATTTCACAATTTGCGTTTATACTCTCGAAATCGAATTCCTCTCCAGTTATGCAAAAAGTAATTGATTAAGCTTTCAATTAAAATGCAAGTTCGCAGGAGAAAATAATTCAGGGAGATAGTTGTGGCAAATTACCGTCTCATTCTTTGTGCTGAACACAGGCATTGCCACCGTGGTCATCAGAACCGGACTCTGACCGTCCTCCATCTGAGAGTCATGTGATGCAAAGAGTGAGAGAGATGGCGATGGAGAAAGAGAAAGGGAGACAGGGAGGAGAAAAAGAGGGAAGCTAATGATGAAACATTGTTATAGTCACAAATGAAAGGTAACTGCACATCACACTGCACTGGCAGCACACATACACATGTTGCTTCATAACTCTCAGTGAGTGATTATTTCAAGCTGCAGAAACTCCTCAGCAGTGAACCTGGTAGGAATCCTGCGGCAGACCTAGTTGTGTTATCTTCTTGAGGGACCTGCAAAACTTCCACGACATGTTTTATTCATGTTTATTATTTGCCTTAAAATGTACTCAATCAGAGCCTATGCTTTGATCTCATACAGAACAAGCTTATCCACAGGCAGTTTGGATCTAGGTATCTTCCCTTCCCACAGACTGCTGGAATTATTATGATATTTATCTTTCCGCCGGCCGTCTGTATCTGACGATGATATCCATATTAGATGAAGGCTTAACACTGTCCCATTTTCCTTTTGTTTTGTCCCTTCCCTCGTGTGTGTCCATGTGAGTGTATATGAGTGTGTGTGTGTGTGTTAGTTTCCATCCTGGTGTGGCTCCTGGATTGTTTCCCAATCAACTCACCTCTACACCTTTGCTTCATCAGCCAATCTACTCATCGCTCCTGTTGCAGTATTTAAAGGCGTACTGCACACTTCAATGTATATTTTGAGCTGAATGGGCTGATTTGGCTCATAACACCACCTAGTGTTTTGGACCTTGCAGGGCCAATGCTGACGAAGAGTCAACGGGTCGACCCCATGCTAGGTTATTTATATATTAATTTGAATTTCCCTACGGGATTAATAAAGTACTTCTGATTCTGATTAATAAGTTTTACACCCTCTAATGAAAGGTAGGCAGCCCCCTGCCACCTGGGTGAGCAGGAACCTGGATTGCGGTGGTCATTTTCAAATCTATGCTAAATCGAAACTCTTAACCCCCACATCGTCAGCCTTTAAAGAACGTCCCCCATCCTCTCCTGCCCCTCCATGTCCACGGTCAGCCATGACCGTCTCACAGCTACCTGCGCAAGATGTTAGAACAGCTCGGGACAACCAAGCTCCAAAGACACGGTTGCTCCAGGTGTCTCAGCACCAGCTGCCTGTGCCAGCATTTCAAAAGGCTTGGGACAACTGTGGTCTTGGGAGTCAGTAAACTCCAGAAGTAAGAAACTGTTGAACTATTTATTAAGATTTTGTTGGGGGTGTGCTCTTAACTGTGACAATGATGTCATGACCCACCACGCTCATGGATTGCACTTAATAAAAGTGAACTCTTCTGGTTCAAATGGTAACGATGTGTTTGTTAGTTAAGTGAAGTAAAGTGTTTAGTTTAATTGACTGGCGGTTTTCTTACCCTCACTATGTCTAGACATTACTGGCACAAAGGTGTGTGTGCTACAACTGGTGTCGTCACTCATAGCTAGACAACTTAGATAACTTAGCACAAGCATAATTTGGGGAATTTCCAGGGAGAGGCATTTCAGCCAAAACTTAGAGGTGAGGTTACACTTAACTCCCGGCTCTTTCTTCTGTTCAGTCACTTTTAGTGGTATTACACTGCTGCACTCCTTCGCCTGTAAATTTGAAATTACTTGTCTGCCAGTTGTTTACACGTGTCTCTGAATCATCGGTACCTGCCTGCCAATATTCCCCCATGCCCTGCCATGTCTTTGTCTGAAACCCTGGATCTGAACCCTGAACAGATCCCTTGCCTGCCTGCCCAGCTCAGTAACCTGGATCTCCTGCCAGCTCTGTAATCCAGAACCTCAGTATTTGTTCCTATCTTGCTTTTTGCTCTCCTTGTATCACTATTGCAAGTTTTTAGCAACAAATTTCTCAGGCTTTGTGTTCAGCAAAAAGTGGTTTGACCTCATCATAAATCATAAATGATGGTCACTTGTGCAATTTGTGTTAGAGCCGTTTCAGGTAAGTGGTGCAAAATGAAACCTGGAAAAAAAAAATTGTTAAATTCTGCAGCAATCAATGGAGTATCGTTTTGTCTGATTCTGCCAAACGCACTTTATCATCAGGTTCCAGCATGGTCAATGCGAACTTTCAAGGGGAACTGCCCATTTAACCAATCATTTCAAAGGAACATTACACACCTCCTGTACCTTCTCCTTCCTCCAGCGCTCACCCCCTTTCCCAGCAGTAATAATGGCTAATGACAGGAAACTGCTAGCATCCATTCGGTCTCCCTCAGATACCGGGGGAAAGCTGAAGTGGTGACCAGAGTTGCGACAGCTGTTAATAGCAATCCAGAGAGCAGTGAGGACTTCAAAGAGAGAACAAAGTACAGCTGCTGTAACAATGGACGGCCTTGCTGCTGCGGAATGGGATCGATCACAGGTCAGGGGAGGCGAGCAGAGCCTCATCTAAGCTCAGATCTATTGGATCATATATCACCGGTCTTGAAACATAAAAAAACGACATTTACTGTGTATCCCCATCAAACGTGTACTCTTTGTACTTAATTCTAAAACCCTGTTCAGACCTGGTATTAACATCCATCCTGAGAGATCCAATCACAAGTGGACAACATTAAGAAAGTGTGTTCACCCTTAGTCTCCTGTGACCACTTGTGATCCAATCTCACTTTCCCGTTCTATATTCAAATAATCATATATGTCATTTGTGTTGGCAAAGACCATATTATGATGTTTTTACCTTGTTTGAGTGTACAGGTTTGCGCCATAACACGGTGTGTGTGTTTGTGTTTGTATTGGTGTGTTGGCACAAGTGAGTAAACAAGAGATAGAGAGAGGTAGACGAGTCAGGATGAATCTTGTACGGCTGTGCGATGAAGAAATATTTTACCATTTAGGAGAAGTATCAATCATTATGTCATGGTTAGTGTTAGTGTCAACGTGTGGGCATGGAGAAGTGTAAAGATGCATTTGATTCATTGTGAAATTATAGTGGGTCAGAGGACATCAGCTGAGGGGGCGGTCCTTCACATAGGCACAGGACGCATTTGCATTGGGTGAGTTCATACCTGCACTGAGAGCTGTCCACATTTGATCAGAACAGATGTTAAAAACAGGTCTGAACAGGGTCTCAGATGCTCTATTTTCTGGATTTGTTGAAAATCAAGCTTTCCCATGCTGCTCTGGGAAATGACTTGGTATAATTAAGCAGGAGATGAAGAAAGGAAGCGAGCGACTGCATCTGCTGGATTCAAAGCCAACATCACACAGATGATCCTCAGTTGCCCTACCCAGGGGATGGAAGCCCTTTAAACCTGTGCTTCATTATCCAAGGAGAGGAAAGAGACACTTCCTTGAACCCTAAATGAGCGTCCTCCAACAAGACCTTGCCCCAAGTCCCAAAGGGAGTGCTCCTTATCTAGAATTTGGCTTATCATACAAAATCTGCAACCTCTGAGTGCAAGGTCAAAACTAAGCACACATTTGGGCCAATTCTGCATCATCGTTGCCTCTGTGGCTTTATCTGTATCCATCAGAGTAAATGAGGTGTGCAAGTCCTTTCTCCTGCTGTGGGTCAAAGAATGAAAAAGAACCCCACTGGGATCTAATGCACTCGCTCCCCGCTGACACAAATACCCACAAGCTTACACCCCTCAGAGAGTTCAGATACACACCCGTGCCCCATGTTTGGTGTCTCACAGGACACCCCTTAATCTAGGTTGCTGTGAAAGATTGCGTGCTGGTGGACGAAATGACTCTTGTTTCCTTGGAGACAGGGCTTAATGATGTTGGTGTGTCTAAGTGCAGGAACCAGAGCCCCCTGTGGGCTCCTACGGGAAAACATACCCGAAGCAGAGCTGGCATGGACCCAGCAGACTGTTATCCTTCACGGGTGTTTTTGGGATTATCTATGAAAGCTCTCAATTACCTCAATCAATGTTATAGAAGCAGACTTTACATTCATCTGTTATGACATTTCGAACAGCTCACAACTCCAATTTATCATCAAAAGGTAATCTATTGCTACTGGCCCTCCAATCTTCCAGTCTTGTTCTTTGAACTTTAGCATTTTTCCTCTCAAACCCACATCCTTCTTTATATCCTCCATATTCTCTTACCCTCTCATACTGCCCTTACACTTGTCCTCAAATTCTACCCCCCCTCCCCCAGACACACACAGACACACACAGACACACACACTCACACTCTTCTCCCTCCTCCTCCACCACCCTCTCATCATTCCTGAGCTCCAGTGTCAGTTCATCTGACAGAGTGGGAAACAAAGCCAAATGAGCCAGAGAATGATGGATGAAGCCAGTGAGACGGAGGATGGGGAGGGAGCAGGAGGGAAATGGTGGAGTGGAGGGATGATCACAGGTGGAGAGACAGAGCTGGAGAGGGAGACGAAAAGCTAAACCGAGAAAGACAGGGGAGATCTGTTTGGAAAGATTATTAGGTTGCGCTGGAGGGTCGGAAGGAGTTAAATTATAGGATGAAGGCTATGTCTGGAAGGACGATACCCATCAGCCCTGGAACGCAAATCTCAGATTCCTCTGACTTTCTTTACACTGGGCCAATCCGAGGAGTTTGATAAGTTCTAGACACTATGACCACGCGGGATGTCAGTTTGTGTGTCTTTATGTCTTTATGTCAATTCAATGTCAGTTTTACTTTTTAGACAACTGTTTGTGTGTGTGTGTCTGTTTGTGTGTGTGTGTGTGTGTGTGTGTGTGTGTGTGTGTGTGTGTGTGATTTCTTTTAGCAGCCCGAGCTGTGCTGGGATGATTACAGATTCCTGGCTAATCCCAATTATCATGTCTGACAATGTGATATCTATTTCTGTTTTCTGCTGAGCCACTGCGATGTCAATCAGCTCGATTCTATCACACCAAAAGTACCATGTCAGACATATGGCCTGCCAGCTGTCTAACGCGACTGCTCTGTGCTCAGCTCATACTGATAAAAGGGGCATAATAATCTTATGACTATAGAGCTGCTTATCTCAACCCACATATGATTCATAAAGTAATGAAAAACAAAACACTGAAAATGATAAAAAGGCATCAAAACAGATCATCCCACCCGTCATTACAGGCTATTGAATTTTCAACTTCAAGACAACAAAACATCTTATTCTGGAGAATTCCACCAAAACAAATAACATAATATAATCTTGTTTTCACACCAAACTCACACAAGCAAAAGAGCAAAAATGTCGCCTCACATTTACAAACACTGCAAAGCCCAGAGATACTGGCACAGCACGACCAACACAGAATCGTCAGTGATGAATGAGCGCAAGCGTGTGCACAGACGTGCGCGAGTGTGTTTGATCAGACGTGCAGAAGAGAGCGAACGATTGAGCCAATGCCAACAACGATGCATGGTTGGAATCAGGAGGTTGACGGGCAACATACGACACTGACACACAAGAAAATGCCGTCGGTATGGTAGTTAGTTCACCAAAATTACGCCTTGTTCTCACAGAGATCGAGGTCCAAAATGCACATGCACACGGAATGCACATGAACACACAGCAGGCCTCAACACATGACAATACAGCAATGACCTGAAATCAGTTTTTTTTCTTTTACCTTTTGTGCTTGGGGTAGCTAAAGAGAAAAGATTAAGGAGGAGGGAGGAGAAGGCAAAAGAGGAGGAGGAGAGAAAGGGTCAATACGTTTGTGTGAGAAAGTGTCAGAAAGCCTTCCAGTGTAGTTTCCACCGAATGGAGCTCCAGCTCCAGTGGGTGCGTTAAATCCACTGACATTGACTTGACTGCAACTTTAAAAACATTGACTGTGTCAAGAGAGGAGAACTTTATAGCTAGGAGGCTCACGGCAGAGGAAACAACACTTAGGCTGAAAGTGTTGAGTCACTGCTGAGTGCATGCACTTTGACTGTGATAAATGGACGGGGATAATGAGGACAAAAAATAAGCCGTGAAAGGCAGAGAAAGGTAAAACATGAGGGACATGAAGAGGATTGCGGAGAGAAGAGTTCATTTTCATGTTGTATTGCACTGAATGCCTGTGGGCATTTCTGCTGGAGGGCACTCGCCTTTGTCTCCTTACATTTATGAAGCTCTCTGTCTCTTGATCTATTTAGAAACAACTGAGGACAAATGGCTGCCGTTCACTCTCTCTGACCAAAAACAATAACTTGAACAAAAGAGGATTCCTGTGGATGCATGAATACCACAGTTCATTGTGTATAGATTATGCATTTCAGAGAATCCTTTTGTCCGCTACAGAGAACTATAAAGCATGTATAGGGGATCAAGCTGTGATTATCTAATAACAATATTAGATATGTGCCATTTTCATGACTATTTGACCCAGCAGCCACTTTATACCTCTCGCTAAAACTAAACCAGTGAATCCTATCTCCATGAAGCTTGTAATGTTCAATTTTTAAGGAACTGCTTTAGAGAGGTGTTTTAATGATTTGGAGGCGATACAGTCTGTGCTACTTTTGCATTATACTGACAGCTGACTTTATTAATTGGTGCACTGCATTTAGTGAACCGAACATCAGAAACACCTGCCAGCAAACATAAAATAGCACAAAAAACGCCGCACACCCCAGTTTATTGTCATAAAATGAAATGCACTTTCAAAAACAGTCCTAACACGGTGTACCAAAGAAAGTGGAAAGTGGAGTGAATTTAAGGTGTTTGTCTGTGTGGGCTATGAAACAAGGTTGGGAGCTCAGAACCAATGTTCTACTCACGCTACACAACTCCCAAACACACACAGGAGGCTCATTGACTTAATAGTTTCATCTGCTGCGCACACATTCTTTCACACATTCAGGGACATACAAAGGCAATGTGCTTTGTCAACCCACTGCTTTTATTTTATCACTACCATCCAGAGTTTACAATTCATCCCAACAATACACATGTGATAAAACAAAGTGAGTGGTAGATTAAGCTTTCTCATGTAAATCTCTCAATCCATCATTGAGTATTGAAGGACACGTATAACACTTGTCAAACAGCTACCTGCTACAACCCAAACCCTAAAAAGGCCGGGTCACACCAGAGCAGAACATTTCCTACACGCACTGGAGGACACGCCCCAATCACATGGCCAATCAGAGTGGAAGAAGCTTAACAGGAGGGGGCTTAAAACCCAGTGTTTCAGACAGAGGCTGATATGAGGTTCCGCAGCAATGGACAATAAGCAAGAGAAAAGTGATGTGGTTTTGTAAAAACCTGAAAAGGAGCATAATGTCTCTTTTAACGATCCATAATGTGCAGAGTCCAGTGGGCATGTGTGGTTAGAGAGGACGACGGGAACGTCCAGTAGCATGTGAAAGATTGTTGTTGCCAACTCACGGTGTTGTCGATGTAGGCCTCAGTCCACACTGTGTCGTGCTCCCGGTCGATCACCTTGGGACGACTTAGGACATGGAGGTACTCCATCACGTTCTCCTGCACGTCGGCCAATGTGGAAATCTGAGTGAAGTATCCTATTGGGCAGAGAAAGGAAGACGGAGAGAGAAAAATGATGCCGGGGCAACAGGGTCATGTCCTGGCTCATCATTGCTGCCCCCTCAAAAAAAGGGTTAGGGATCTAAAATAAAAAAAATCTAAAATCAGGCCCTGAGTCTCCAAAACTGTCTGTAAGTGTCACGTCCAATATCAGCTTGGCCATCACTCCCATTTTACTTACCGTGGTACCACAGCAGAGAAGTTACATCTGGAATACAGTATGGTAGGCAGCAGAGATTTTGCTTTATGGAGCAGAACCTGGTTGCATACAGGAGTAATAGCTGAAGAATTCCCTGCAGTGATGTACAAGTGAGTGCAAACCAGCATGGGCTTGTGGATGGGTAAGTGGTATGTAAATTTAAACCCAATGTGATGCCATTTTCTGCGATGGTAATGCTGCTATTATGATGCTAATGCACAGGAAGAAATATACCGTTATCTCAGCAGGGCGACAGAAAAGAGGGAGAGGAAGAGAGGGAATCAGGACAGCAGTGAGAGAGAGAGAGAGAGAGAGAGAGAGAGAGAGAGAGAGAGAGAGAGAGAGAGAGAGAGAGAGAGAGAGAGAGAGAGAGA